TTGCCTTCTGAAAATGACCAATGAGGCACATTTGGGACAGAGGGAAGTAAGGATTCACCTCAGACATCTTTAAATACCATCTTTCTCTCATGTTCTTAAAACAGGTTCCCTTTACAAAAGCCTTGTATACTTTCAGGAACCCATGGGTTGGATAAAAAAGGCCCATCACTATAATGTGACATCAGCCGGATCCCACCTAGGCACGGCTCTACCCAGGGAGGTGGGCTGCCCAACCAGGGAGGTTTCCAAATGTTTGTCCCCCAGCAGCCCTGTTCTTCTGATGCGTGTGGAGACAGCAGCCCGCGGGAGGCCCACAGGCTCTGAGTCCAGAGGCCGGGGATCAACCTCTGATGCTGCCTCAGACCATGCGAGTATCCCCGGGCACCTTTCTTCTGCTCTCTGAGCCTTGGCACCCTTATTTCTGTGTCTACTGGCCCACTTCCCGGGCTGCGTTCTCCTGATTCAGCCTGAGCGGCGCCCTCTGCTGTTGTGGGGGCAGTATGGCTTATTTACCTGCTTTGGAAGGCTCTTTATAAGGACTACATTATCTTCTCTAGTCCCCCAGGTCTGTCTGTCTATGTTTTAACTGCCCCAAAGGAAGACACACACAGTGTCGCCTTTGAAGGTTACCCCTGATTTAATGATTGGAAACCACTCCCCCCTCGACATTTCAGCTACCAAACCAGTTAATGATCATTTGTGAAAGGTGTGTGAGTCTTGGGGATGGTCTGAAGCTTCCTGTGGATACTTTCAAGTTATGTCCAGAAAGCCCTGCATACACACCTACAGGAGGTGCCTGGGGCTGGGGGTCCGCTGGGGACAACAGCAGAGAATCCTCGGTTAGGCAGAATAATGGTCTCCTAAAGTCTCCCACATCCAAAGCCCTGGAATCTGTGACTAAGTTACCTTACATGGCAGAGGCACTTTGCAGATGTGATTCAATTAGGGCCCTCGAGATGGGGAGAGTATCCCAGATTATCCAGCTGGGCCCAATCTGATCATGTGTATACTTAAAAGCAGGGAAGCTTTCCCAGGTGTGATTGAAGAAGAGTAGGGGCAGAGAGACACAGCGTTGCTGGGCTGCAAGGGGGGGCCACAGGCCGGGGGCCCTGAGAAACTTGTCCCGGCAGGGAAACCGACTCATCCCTAGAGACACCAGAAAGGAGAGCAACTCTGGCACCTTGCTTTTAGCCCAGTGAGGCCCAGCTGAGACCTTGGACCCAGAGAAGTATAAGATAAAAAGTTCATGTTTCCAGTCACTAAGTTTGTAGCAAACTGTTACAGCAGCAATGGGAAACCAACACACCACTCTTAGGAAACTGTATTGTCTCATGCCTTAATGGCACAGAGAATGAACTTGTGTGGAAAAACGTGGATATTAACAACTATGAGTCTAAATTTCAAGGGTTGGCTGGAGCATAAAAAACTTATAAGAATGACTTACCAGTTTATTTCACTTGTTTTATGTTTCTACTGGAATGTCTAAATAGGGTGTCTTGCCAATGAGTTTCAGCTTGGGCAAGTTCACTATGGATTCAGTGAGACCAAAGAAATGACAGTAAAATGTTCTTGGGGTGCAAGGGTTATACCCAACTTTATTTCCATGGTGGCAGGTTGTCTTGCCAATGGGTTTAGCCCTGGGCAAGTTCATATGGATTCAATGTGACCAAAGAAATTGACAGTAAAACGTTCTTTGGAGTGAAAGGGTGTATTACCAGGCTTGTTCTCCTGGTGGTAGGTGGAGCACCAGCATCTCTGCCTCCACGCAGAGCACTGGGCCGAGCTCTCATTATAGTGCAATAATAGCTTATTGCCTAAAGGTGTGGAAGCTGTAGCCTAGCAACAGGCCAGTTACTGCTCCAGGTGGTTTAAGTTCAGTGAGGATCCTGGCCATAGGAACCCCAACTTCCTCATACAGGTCAATCACTAAAATCCCATCCACTCAGAGCAAGTCTGCATACAGCAAGCTGGTCTCTGTCTCTGGGCCCCTCTACCCACACAGCCATCCTCTGAGCCTCTCTGCCTGCATTGTCATCCCACCCAGCCATCCTCTGGGCCTCTGTCCTCGGCGCTGCCACCCCTCCAGCCTCTGCTCTGCTCTCCTGCGGCCTTGCAGCCCTGCCACCATGCCGCCCAGAGCACTGGGAGGAGCTCTTCATATAGAGTCAGTAGCAATGTATTGCCCACATGTGTGCAGTGAGCTAGTCAACCAGGGCCAGGTGAGAATCCTGGCCACAGGAACCTTCATTTTATCCACATAGGGCTAAAAACCTCTTTTAAAGTATAAAACAAAAACCCAAAGTGATAAGAAAAGATAACGGTATTGGTTCATGGTAACTTTTTTTCCGTTACTGATATGTGAAATAGTGCTTCCAATGGCCGAGGTGTCTTTCTCACTATTGTTAGAGTCAGTGAATGAAGCAAACCTGCAGAAGAACTGTTAGGAGTCCCTGCATTAACTCTAGTTTACCTTCCCTGAAAATGTTATCTAGGATTTTAAGACTTGGCCCCTTTTGGGATTTTGGGGTGCATCTCCCCTGTTGTCCTTCCTTATCACCCAGTCCTAGACATGGCCCAAACCCCCTCCTTTTCTATTTTATACCTGTGTGTTTCTTTCTTTCCCATTGTGCTAGGACGGTTTCCACTCTGGGGACGGGGAGTCATTGGTGGTGACCTCGCCTACAAGTGGGAGAGCGGATTTCCCTGTATCATGGTTAGGACCGACCTGGAGTTGACAGCTCCCTTGTGTGCTGCAAATTTTGCAGCATCGTACTTCATATTAGCGCCAGTGCAGGCAGAGTCCCTGAGTGAAAAAGTCACAAGTGGGTTGGTGGCAGCACACCGGCCCTTCGGCTGCACAGACTTCTTCACTCTGCTGTGTATTCTGGTCACCTTCATAGAGTCCTAATTGCTTCCCTTTCCTGGAAAAATCTGGAGGAATACACATTCAAGCTACGACCTTGTGTGCAAAAACACAAAAATCTGCCCTGGCAGGCCATTTCGAGAGTGGGACGGTCTGTGTGCAGATATATGAGCTTGTTGGGGGAAAAGAGTTAAAGAGTGAAGAAGGGAGGGAGTGAAGGAGGAAAAGTGAGGAATAAAATGCAGGACAAGATGCAGCAGACTGGCGGGGACCAGTGGGAGTCTGCCCGGCCGTGCCCCCTCCCAGGGGCGCCTGTGCTCCGTGGGGCATCAGAGCCCCATGCTGCCTCGGTTTCCATTTGATCCGTTTCACCTCCCGCTGGACAGGACTTGGGTCGCAGAAAGCACCCTCCCCCTCAAGCTCAGGGCACACACGCCCCCTTCCCCCAGCCAGGCTCAGGGTGCGGCAGCCCACAGTGAGTGGGTCCCCTGGGTGGGGTGGGAGGAGGGGAAGGCAAAGGATCTTGAAAGACAAATACTCAGGCAGGGCTCTTCATGCACATAAAGCAGCCAGCCACAGCCTGTGACCTTGGACAGCCCCAGTGGGTCATCCTCACCAGGTGGGTCATCCGCACCAGGTGGGCCATCTGCACCAGGTGGGTCATCTGCACCAGGTGGGCTGCCTGCTGCCTGCTGTGGGGCTTCTGGTCTGATAAGGCTCTTAGCAGGTGCCAGGGGCCCTGAGTGGGGAGGGCCGTGCTGCAGCTCACGTTAGGATGCCATGATCAGAAGGAGGGCCGTGCATGGCCCCTGCCTTGACCCTCCCTGGCCTTCCCCTTAACCTCTTAGAAATGCCCCTAAAATACCACTCACTGGAAGGGTAGATGGGCAAACCTGGAGCAGCTATGGGAGAACTCACTAGAAATATCAGAAATTGCACCAGATTACCTACAGTGACCATCAGCCTTTGCCACGGCCACCCACGTGGCTCCACATGGCAGGCACTCCTAGAGTTGGTTCTTAGCCTTTACCTACCTGTCCCCAGCCTGCCTCCACACTGTCCCCAAGAGGAAGCATGTCAGCTGGCCCCCACCCCCAATTCCACTCTCTCTGTCACTCCCAAAGACTCCCAGCAGACTGGTTATAGAGAGAGACCAGCTAAGCTGCTAAAATTCAGCAATCTTAGCTTTCACATATAAATACATGCAGACAATGAGAGGTTCCCAGACCTATGAGAATCAGCAGCTTAAGGAGGCCCACAGGGCTGAGAGGGTCGTGGGGAAGCAAACAGTTTAATTTTTTTTTTCTCTCTCTGAGAAATTTCAGAAGCTTTTACATGAAGGCAATAAGAGCTTTTACTGTTTAAAAAATGAGTAATTGGAGTTCAAAAAAGAATTCTTGGAGATAAAAAGAATTTTTTAGGATAAATGAAAAACTCAAGAGGCAGTAAATGGCAGGAAGGACAGAGCTAAAAACTAATGTGATGAATTAGGAGCTCAGTGTAATTCCCAGAATTGTTGCAGCCCCAGAGCGAAAAGGCAAAAAGGTGGGAATTATGAATCAAAAGCACTATTTATGATGGAGGGGAACCCAGGAGATCTCTTCCTTCATGGGAGGCCAGGAAGGGAGCGCAGAAATGGTGGAGGTGAGCCAGGGTTCAAAGAAACAGATTGTCCTTAAACTGTAGACATTGGATCGAGCTCACCAAAAACAGGGTGCAATTATTTTAAAAGACACTTGGGAATTGCAGAGACAAAGAGAAAATTGTTTAACTGTATGTCCTGTGTGGGTGAGGTGGGCTGGACTGGATGACAGGAGGGCCAGTGCCCTGGGGTTATATGCAGAGGGAAGGGAGGCACCCTCACCACACAGCCTTGAATCCTGACCCCAGTCACCATCTGTTTTGCCCCCCACACCTGGCCTTAGCTTCCTTGTATGGGAGCTATAGCCTATTTTCTGGGATATTGTGAAATGAAGACAGACACAACAGTCAGTCACACGGAGCTGGCACGTTGTAAGTGTTTAGTACTCACCATCTATTATTTTAATTAATAATTATTATTATTGATGGTGGTAGGAAAATACAGGGGCAAACATGTTTTAATTTTACTTTTTTAACTTTAAAAGCCTAGGACTTTAGTTATACCATTGTAAAAACTTACGAGAAACCCTTTCAATTCTGGGTTTGGAATATTGACATTCCCACCCCACTGACTGGCGTGCGCCCCTGTGGAGGGTCACGGAAACTCCTTCCTCAAGACGGGAAGGGGTGGGGGGTGACCGGCAGCTCCTTACCGACGAGCCCCGCAAGTGGGGCCTGGTGGACTGCAGCCAGGCAGGTCCGGGTTGGAGGGCAGACTGTTTGCTTTTTTATGGAAGGCTGGGCTCCTGCCCTCCGGTGGGTGGGGGCTGGCATTGGCATTAATAATAAAACACCTGAGAGAGAAAGTCACACATGAAAATTCTCCCTCAGGGCAAAGAGTGGCCATAGATCTGTGTACACAGTGGGTGGCAACTGTTAGTTTTCAAAGCAGGAGCATAGGATTTGAGTCACAAGCCAACCCTGAACTGGAGCTCCCTCAGCCATCCAAACCCCTGTGAAGGGCCTTCCACCGCCTGTGATGAGAAGGAAGGGCCAGCGCGGCCTCTCCCACGGACCTGGGCTTTCACCCAGGCAGCTCTCCCTTAAGGTGCACTTGGGACAGTGGAGCCTGTGGGTGGGCAGGGCAGACCCAGCAGTGCCACACTGCTCTGGGGCTTCCTGGGAGGCCTGGGGGACAAGGGCCTTGAGTAGAAACATTGGGAAGCATGGTTAGAGACAGACGGTCTCCACCATAAGAGTTACTGTTTATCAGCCGCCAGGTGGGCCAGGCGCTTACACGCTTCCTCTCACTCAAACTAAGCAACTGTGGACAGTGGGCTATATCACCCCCAGCTCACAAGAGGGGGCACTGCCACTCCAAGGTGTTAGGGAACGTGTCCCACAGCAGGTGGATGTCGGCCCCTCGCCCTGAGCTTCGGGAAGAATTGGAGGGCAACACATTTCTTTCGGCTTTTCCTTCACCAATATTTTTAGATTATTTCCACATAAGTGCTTTACTTGGTTTTGAAAGAAAATACTCTGAGTGTCCATACTTTATAGGGGTGTAGAGCAGTGATGTGCCCCCAGGAGGTAGGAGCAGCCCCCGTGTCCGTTCTGGAAGGCCGTTGGCTTTCTGTCCATGCACATGGCGGGTAGTGAGCTCGCCTTCCTTGCTTGGAAGGTGACGGCTGCTGTGCCTCTATTTCTCTAACTCTGTGTGATAACCTTGGGATGTGACATTTTGTAGTTGGAGTTCAAAGCTAAACAAATTAGCTCAAATCCTCAAACCCTGTTGTCACCACATCAGACAGTGACCTTGATGGAGTCCCTTGATGTGAACTCCAGGGGCAGCTTGCACGACCCAGGAAGGATACCCAAGGGTATGAAGGTGACCTTTGGCTGTGAGCCCCAGCGCGGAAGGCGTGTTCTGCCGACTGTCTAACCTGAGCCCTGGGCAGCCTTTGATCCAGGGCAGACCCCCCGCCCCAGATTCTCCCGGTCCCTCTGCTGCCCCTCCTGACTCACCTCTGTCCTCTCTGGTCTCCCTCTTGGGCTCTGCTTCTCTGCTCCTCAGTCTCTTAGTATTGTAGACGTAGGGTGCAGTCCTTGGTCCTCCCCTGTGCCTGGTGGAGTCTCCCCAGAATTAAGGCCGGAAGGATCATGTCAGTTCAGAGTACCAGCTTGGCCCTCTTCTCGGCTCCTGGCACCATGATTTTTCCTCCAGACAGTCCTCTGGGATTTCTAATGGGCACCTCGGATCCTTCCCTAGTCTTCCCCAGTCTTCCCCAGTCCTCTACCTGCTGTCTTCACCCCTGGTTAATGTCCCATGCATCCTGCTGGCTATTCAGATCACGATTTGGGAGGCATCCGTGAACCTTCTTTCCCTCACACCTTATACCCACATCCAGTCGTCAGGAATCCCTTGGGCTCTACTTTCAAAATTTACCAGAAACCAGCCACCCACGTCTTATGCCTGACTGCCACCTGCTCTGAGCCACTAGCATCTCCACCTGCCCCATGCTCCCAGCTGGTCTCCTGACCCCTGGCATGCTCTGCCCAGCTGCCACAGTGACCCTGTCAAAATATGCCACATGCTGCTCCTCTGTTCAAACCCCTGCATTGTTCCCACTGACATGTGTCTCACAGTGGCCTGCGCCACTCCGTGAAGCCCCTCTCAGCAGTGTGGCGGGGCCTCCCATCAGGGCCCTGATGCCTCCCCACTACCTGTTTCCTTGGGCGCCCAGAGCAGCTCCCTCAACTCCTGGCCACTCAGGGCCCTTCATTCCTCACCACCAGCTTGGCCGGCGGCCCTTCCACAGCTTCCTACCTCCCTTTCCCCACCACTGGAATCAAATATGTCACCACAGGACTATTTCACAACACTAAGGTGACAGCATCACAGGGCCCAGCAGTGGTATCCTGATGGGCTTCACCAGCAGCTCTTCGAAGCTCTGCCTGGTAAGTGTGTCCACATGTGGGCAGGGTCCCCTCCTGCCCCCCGCCAGGCTACCACGTCTGAACACTTGCCCACAGCACAGGGCCCTGCTGGTGGCACCACGTGCAACACATCCCACCCACACACACATTTGCCACAGGCCACACCCCACACACCCCACACACCCCACCCATCAATATCACAGTGAAGCCAGACAAATGAAATTTTTTGATTCCCAATACATAAAACAGTTATGTTTAGAGTATACTGTAGCCTATTAAATATGCAATGGCATTATGTTTAAGACAACATGTAATACCTTAATTAGAAAATACCTTATTGCTAAAAAGCACTAACTGCCACCTGAACTTTCAGCGTTTTGCTGGGGAGGGTCTTGCCTCCATGTGGGTGGCTGCTGACCGAGCAGCATGGTGGCAGCTGGGTGGCTGTGGACATGTCTTAAAATCAGACAGCAGTGAAGTCTGTCGCGCTGATTGACTCCTTTCACGGACGCTGTCTGGAGTAGGAGATGCTGTTTGAGAGCGTGTGACCCACAGTGGAACTTTCAGAACTGGGTCAGTCCTCAGACCCTGCCGCTGCTTCCTCGGCTCAGCAGATGTCGTGTCCTTCAGTCCTCCTGGCACCCTCCCTGGGGGCAGATTTCATCTTGGGAAAGCCCGACCCTGGCTCCTTCGCAGGGGCAGCTCCTCACCCAGGCAGGTCTGACTCGAGAGGCGGCAGGGCGGCCCCGTCCTCAGGCCCTGCTTCTGGTCCTGGTTCTCGTGCCGTTCCCACCACACCTGCAGCTGCTTCCTCCCCGGAGGCCTTGAGCCCCTCAGAGTTAGGCATGGGGGCTGCAATCGACTTCCTCCAAACGCCTGTTCATGCTGACATTTTGACTTTGTAGAGGTCAAGGACAGGCAGCCCCAAGATGTGTTGGCATGCAGATTATGTCTAGCTGGCAATAGTCTCAAGGGCTAAAAGATGCAGAAAGAAACTTTAACCTTCCCCCTAACTGCATAAAAAGGATTTAAATGGAGGACCTGCTCTAGGAAGAGAGCTATCACCATAGAACATCAATCACATCACAATGTGAACTAGGGAGGATAGACAAGCAGGAATTGAGTAAAATCTGTGGAAATTCCTCTCGGGGCCCCATTGTTTTGGTGTGGCCCAGCAAACATTTGTGTGCCCAACATTCACTCTTGTACTCCTGTGACCTGCGTCCCAATCCCTTTGAAGCCCCAGCCCCCACCCGCTTCTCCTTAGTTCAGGATGACATATAAGCTTCATTGTCCCTGACTGTCCTTGGAAACTCAGGTCTGTGTGGATTCCCTGTATGTACATAATTACATTTGATTTTCTCCAGTTAATCTGTCTCATGTCGATCAACAACCAATCCAAGAGCCTTCTCTGTGGACTGACCACCTATCTCAGGACTTTCCCAACTTCATGTTCACCCCCCTTCCTAATCTGTAACCAATTCAAATTTGAAGAACCTTCTTTCCTCAAGATGCCTCATAAATGTGCCCTTTTTCTTGAGTCTGGCAGGCAAGCTGTTTCTGTGAACTGGCTTTGGTGCAGGTAAAGCAGAAACTTCCTGGTCGAGGACTCAGTGCTTTTCTGGCTGCATCTGTAAAGACTCAATAAACCGTTCTATTTCAGCAATCTCTCCATCTCTAGACTTCTGGATTAGTCAAGATCTCCTTTGGGAAATCCCTTCTGTGGCAAATGCTCAGTTTCTCAGGGTCCCCTGTGTCCCCGTGCTGGGTGATTTTCCTGGGGTTCCTTTTTAAAATATGGATGTGGGTATCAGGTCAGTTTGAATAAATTCAGTCCCCAACTGATTTTTCCTCCCTCAGAATCAAACTTTTTTTAATTTGGCTGGAATATTTTGAAAAAAATAAAAGGAAAGAAAGGCCTGGACTGGATCATCTGCTGTGTGCGTTGCTCCCCTTGGGCCAATGAATCCCTCTTTGTTTGCTGCTACAAGACGCGGCTTCTATCTTCACATTTGCGAATGCCTGTCAAGAACGGTACCAGGTAATGAAAGGATTTTTCTTATGTTTCTGCTCTTTGTTTTGAAGGAACAACAGAAAAGGGGTAGTTCTAGGCAACTGAGCAAATTACCAGAAGCAACCGGCCAAGGAACGTGGGTTGAAATATTCCACATTTCCTACTAAGCTGCTTATTTTCTTTCCTCTGCAAACAGGGACTGGCAAGCACCCACTCGTCGGTGTGTACGGGTCACTATCCATGGGAGCCGCCTGAGCCTGTGCGAGTGAGGCTTCCCGACCCTGCTCAGGATGGAGCTGGCTGGGACTGCACGGTCCCTGGGGGGCCTTCCCAGCACAGTCCCTGGGAATGAAGCCCCTCAGGCCTGTGCTTGCCTCACCCTGCTCCTAAGAGGCCTCAGTTGCTCTGTTTAACTCCCGGCCTGAGCCCTATGGAGATACCAATTTTATTATGCTAATTAATTAATGATCCATTGGCCTTTGGAGTAAGAAGATTTTGATCTCTAGGTTCAGCACAACCTCCTGGAAGACTATAGAGCAGAGGCAATCTCCCCTCAGGGAACTGGAGCAGCCCATCTGCCCCAACCCCCTGGAATATGTCCTCAGCTCCTGGGGGCATGTCAGCTGGTCCTGCAACCCTCTTGGGTGTCACCTGCTTCCTTATCCTCCTCTGGCAGCTGTTCCACAAACTAAAGGTGACACGTAGTTGCATTCAGCTGGCTGAGCTGGGGCCACTGGAAACAATAGGAAGAATAATGACACGTTCTGGCAGCTCTGGTCTCAAAGATGGGCAGTGATGTGGGCAAATACCTAGCCTTAGGGATTTGAGGCTAATGGATTGAGGGTGTTCCCTGGGGTGGGGCAGGCATCTCAGAGCTTCTTTTTATCCATGACCCTTCCTGGGCCCGAGGCTCCTGATGCTGCTGCCCTCTGCCTGGGGAGGTCCCCTATTCAGGTGCTACTGGGAGTCCAGTCTTTGGAGGGAGGGTAGTGGGAAGGGCCCTTCTCCTGCCTAGAGATCCTCTGCACTCTGGTCTGTCCTTCTTTTCCAGCTTCCTCCCTGTCATGGCTCATCCTGTCCCCCTTCCTCGTCCTAGCCTCCAGTGGGGTTACTAACCTCCTTCTGGCGGCCTCAGCACCTGCCATGTTGCCATCTCCCTGCTTACACCGCTGATGGTAACAGAAACAGCTCACCTGTGAATTCTTTTCAGAGTTCAAAGGTTTTGGCCTCACAGTGTCCTTTGCTCCTCACAACAGTCACTGAAAATGAGTAGACTCGATTATTTTTTCCAAAGATGTATTTATTCGGTTTTAATAAACATTTTGCTTATTTCAGACATCACATCTTAAAAAAAAATTTTTTTTGTTGATCAGTATACAATAAAGTTTAGGGGGTTATATAAGCTATATAACATCTTTACCTTTACAAAACTTAGGAGCAGAATATGAGTATCTTATCTCCCATTACTCTAATTTTCTCTTTACTGCAGGACAAGAAGAAATACCTTGCATTTTTACAGTCCTTTATATTTTAAAAAACCATATTGAATTCACAATATAAGTGGATCATGTCAGCAATTTTTCGAGGTGAGGAAGCAAGAATTATGATTTCTAGTTTCCATACTGAGGAAACGTACGCTTCAATACGCTAAATGATTTGTTTGGAGTCACACATAGCTAGCAGAGAGCATAGCAAGTATTTGATTTTGGATTTTCTGCCTTTTTCTAGTAATGATCTCAATTTCTCTCCTAAAGTTACGGTTTCTGGGACAGATACAAAGAACAGCTGTCTATGCAGTGTGTGCATCTCCCCCCCAGACACACATTCAGAGTTGCTCCCTTCACGGCCCACTTTTCAGATGTCCTAGGGGACATGGTCCCCTCTCCCACTTGAACACATACCTTCACTAGCATTTCACGCTCTTTTCTCTAGTTTGTCCCATGGAAGCTGATACATGGCAAGCACAATGGCTCTGCTGTCCCTGAAGTAGCCCTGGGGACGAAGCTGCTGCCTCAAAGTGGCAGAATGTGGCCCGGCTGGACCTCCTCATGACCCGGAAAAGGAGGCTTTTGGGATGATCTTCCTGAAGAACAAATGAGAGCAGCCACGTGATGTGGTGGTTTAAGGTCATCCTCACCGCTTTCCTCCCTGAAGCCCTGGTGCAGAATTTCAGCAATATGACCTCTTTTACTGCACAGGGGCCACAATCCTGTCTACATCCAGAGCCTTGGAGCCCCTGCGCTGTGAGCTCCCGCGGAGGCATGGGGGCCCTGGGTGGAGCCATGTGGACCCCACAGGGGTGGCTGCAGAGCTGAGGGCGAGGACCAGGAGTGGACGCTGCTGGACCAGAGGTGCCCCCAGGGGTAGGGAGGAGTGGAGGAGGGAAGGCTGGGAAGTTATGAGGGAGCTTCAGCAAGTCTTGGGGAGGCTATGTTGACAGTGAGTGTGGTTGCCCTGCTCTCCTGATTCTTGCTGACAGAGGAGGGCCTGCATGGCCCCAGGGCCACTGAGCTCACGTGGATATGGAAGGAGACCCGGAAGGCCAAGTTCTGTGCCTGGACGCACTTCCAGTCTGTGTTCTTCCAGCTGAACCCTGGATGCTTGGCTGCAGGAAACAGTTCTGTCCCCTGTCCCAGGCAGAGCTCACCCCACTGTGGCAGCAGTCACGGTCCTTGGGGTGTCCTGATTGCCTTGTCACCTGGCCTGACCTTTGCGGCAGCTTCCTTAATGCCTTCAATCTCCAAACTGCATTTACTAATATTTGTTTTAAACTTGGATGCCTGCCCTTGCTTACTGTCCACACCCCTGCAGGAAGAATTCGCTTCCATGTCCTCGAGATTCCCTAAATATGTTTGTGTCCCATTCCTGCTTTGTTAGATGTGGCTGGTGGGCTCTGGTTTCTGGAGGCCCTGCTGACTTGCTAACTGAGATTTTATGAGGATCCGAAGGAGCAAAGGCCTTCAGCACTGGGTGGTACGTGGCAGTTTGGTGTCCTAGGAAGGGCACAGGCTCGGGTCCAACCAGCCTTAGAGCCACCCCAGCACCATGCTTCCAGCTGAGTGACTGGGTGGTTTCTCAGCCTCTCTGGACCTCAGTTTCCTTGTCTGTGAGTTGGGGCCACAGACTCTGCCTCGTGGAACAGTACGGTGCCGTCTGGAGGAGGCTCGGCGCCTGGCTCATCACCCCCATGCCTCCTCCCACACTAGCCCCAGGACCAAGAACACTGACAAAACTCACGATTTATTCTGTGAGTCATTTAAAAATTGTTAATACCAACATGACTGAAATCAGAACTCTGTGCTTCAATGTGTACAAAATGGAAAATTGGGAAAACTTTTGCTTTAAGACTGAAGCCCGGGAGGATCATATGCCTTCAATCATCAGTGTGGCTAAATGGGAGGAGAAAAATCTGGAGGTTTAATAAAACATCTGATCAGAGTCTTCTCTGGATGCCCAGCTGTCCGCTCTGGAAGATGCTCGTGTTTCTGGCCCTTGTGTTGGGGGGCGGTGGGGGGAAGGCAGCCCAGAGGCCTGGTGGCTCTAGACGGATTTCAAATCAGATGCAAGCTCTTTCTGCAGCCATGTTACCCCTGCCTGCTCTGCCCATGCAGGAGAGACGTTGGCCCTCTGCTCTGGAGCAGGTTTGTCAGAACTGCTGGCAGTGTGGTCCCAGAATTGTGACTTGATGAACAATTTCAGAGCCCATGATGGGCCCCTCCCAGCCCCAGGCAGTCAAGCACATCTGAGCCTTCCTAATTCACACGCACAGGGTCCTTTCCTCTCATGTCTACGTGCTTTTCGTGACCTGTCAGACTCTGATATCCATAGAAGGCATTACTTTCTTCCAAGTCACGCAGCTGGGGATGATGTAAGCAAAGTCCTTCGGCCAAGGGCACCAGGGAGATCTGGGAGGGCACACTCCCTCCAGGGGCAGGTGTTCGGACTCTGGTGCTTTGACTAGACGGAGCTTCACGTTGCCCTGGGCCCGCAGGGGTTTACAGGGGCCGGTGTGGGAGGCTCCAGGTCCCTCCACAGCGGGAGGCCGCAGCCGCCCCTCCCTCTTCCCACCAGATCCTTCCCTTTTCTTAGCTTCCCACCTTGTGCTTTTAAAGAAACACCCACAGCCAGACCCCCCCTGGAGGCCTGAAAGGCCCCCGCCCGCGGCAGGCGGTCACTCCACCTTCTCCCAGGAAGGAGCGGAGTGGGCAGGCGTGGCCGTGGCGGTTGTCCTCAGCGAGTGTGTGCGTGCCGTTCCCAGTGAGGAGCACAGAGCCTCCTTCCTTACCGAGAAATTAAACTTCTTGCTACTTAACAAATGCATTAAGGAGGGAGGAAAAGGGGCCCTCGCTCATTCACTCCTGATATGAAGTGAGAAAGGACTAAATGTCCCAGACCTGCCCTGAGCGTTACCCCCCACCCCCTGCCATGTCCCTGTGCTGAATCCTCACCCCCAGGACCTCAGAATGTGAGCTTATTTGGAAATAGGGTTGCTGCACATTGACTAGTTAAGATGAGGGCAGCCTGGAGTAGGGCGCCCCTAATCCAGCATGGCTGGTTTCCTTACAAAACGGGAAATGTGGACACAGACATACACAGGGAGACGCCACATGCAGATGGGATCAGAGGTCAGGGTGATCCAGCAGCAAGCCAAGGGATGCCAAAGATGGCCAGCACACGCGAGCTAGGAGCCGGGCCCGGAGCAGGGGCTTCCTCAGACCCTTCAAGGATCTGACCTTGATCTTGGACTTTTGGCTTCCAGAATTGTGAGACAGTACGTTTCTGCTGTTTTTTTACGCCAGTTTGTTCAATCTGTGGGGCTTTGTCACAGCTGCCCTAGGGTGTTCATCCCAGAGCAGTGATGCAAGACTGGCTTGGGGCCCTTGTTTCCTGCTGGTGTGAGGACCTGTGCTGCCTCCAAGCAGGGCCTGCCTGGCCATTGTCTTGGGCCAGGGACACTTGTGCTGGGAGTGGGTGACATGTTCCTGCCCGTTTGACCAGCTGAGCCCAGCTTCTGGGGTGGGGCGCAGGGCTCCTGGGCTGCCGGCTGGCCCTCAGCCTGTCAGGCCTGGGTGATGCTTATTTCCCACTCTTGGAGTTCTCTCTCTTTCCCGCCCTCTTTCTTTCAGTGCTTCAGATCCATCTATCTGCTCTGCCAATTCCTCTTCTCTTTCCCCCAGACGAAGACATAGCTCCCCCACCTTCCTGTTTTTCCACCTCAAACACCAGGTGTTTCTAAAGTCATAGTGCCCTGGGGCTGAGAACTAGCTATTTGACAAACTTTTATGACCAAATAAATATTGAAATTATCCATAAAGCAAATGTGAGCAGAGAACCCCAGCTTGAAGGACAGATGGGCCTGGTGCGGAAGCTTCTGGAGACTATCTCCTAATGCATTTATAATAGCAGAAGGGTAGTCATGCCACCCTTGGACACCTTGGGCTCTGGAGGACTGAGAGCCAGCCTGGTCCCCCTCAAGGTCAAAAGAGCTCCATGTGCTGGTAGAGCCAGTGGAGGGATCTGGAGCAGAGGCCTGGGCAGGATCTGGCCCTGCCATCTGCCAGCACCCTTAGCTGCCGCCTCAGGAGCCTCATCAGTACAATGGGTGTAATAACAATGTCAGCCTCACAGTTCCTGTAGAGCTCATACACATGAGGCAATTAGAACAGTGCCAGGACAACGACAAGCCCTAAACATGTGTGCCTGTGAAATACACACATACAGCTGGCGGTGGGCAGCACAGGGCAGCTGCCCAGGGTGACGGGGTGACCAGAGGGTGGTGTTGGGGGGGGAGTGGGGATGTCGCTCCAGACTCACGCCCTGGCTCCATCCTCCTGCTAACCTTCCTCTTCTAAGCAGTGAGCAAGAAAGCCATCTGAGTCTCTGATGAAGCCAGAAGCCCATTTGGCAAGCATGCCATTTTGGAAAATGATCAGCGGTGTGGGTTGGGATGGAGTTTTCTGCACATTTCCATTATTTCTTCAGCTTCTCGTAATCCTGACTGAGCAACGTTCAGCTGCGTGAAAGCTGGGCAGCAGAGGGATGGATTTTTCTCAAACTTCTCTCTGAGCCAATTTCAAAATATATACAGGGGGAAAAACCTTGTTTTCCCTTTGCAGTTTTGAGAGGTTTCCTATGCAGACATAATTTTAAATTTATTTTCTCCCCCAGTGAGTTTGGAGGTGGTGGTGTGGGGATAAGAGGGAACAGGTACTTAGTGAGGAATCTCTCTCCCTCGTGCCCACATCCTTCCTGTGCTTCTCACCATCCATGATCCAAGGAGTGGGTGGCTAGGGTTTTGCAAAAGAGTGTGCACATGAGTGTGTGCATGTGTGCGCGCCCACATGTGTGCTTGTGTGTGTCTGTGTGTAAGACATATTTTGTAGGGATGTTCAAATGACTACAGTGCAAACCAGGTTTGGATAAGTTCTGTGATCATAAATGGCCGTCAGGAGTTTTTGATCTGCTCAGCTCTTAGCCAGCCTTAGGTCTGCTGTCCCAGTAATTAACTGATTTTTCACATCATTCAAATACTTACTGAATATAGCCAGACAGGGGTCTGGGCACTGGGACTTCATCAAACAAACAGAACAGGAAAAAAAGTGTGCTTTGTGGACCTGAGCTTCCTGGGCAGGGGTGGGGAGTGGTGACAGAGGAGAGGCCGCCTCTCAGGCAGCTGTACACACAAGCTATGACCCTAAGCCCAGCAGAGGGCCAAGGGGCTTCTTCAAATCCCAACCCCTCCCCTCCCCAACATGCTTCCAGTTTCTTTCCCTGGCCCCCCTCTCCTGATAGTGGGTACCCCTCTTTTTTGGGTCATCTGGCTCTCACGGGTCTGGGCTCTGTGTCCACTTATCCAGGGGTCTCCAAGTCCAGTTGCCCCTATCTTAATTGGGGGATCCTGGGACTCCTGGTCTGTCAAGGGCACTGAGACGCCCGTCTCTGCCCCGGGAAGCGCCACTGTGCAAGGGGGCAGGGCTCCCACATCCCAGCACCAGGCTTAGCCCCTACTAGGCTGGGGGCAAGGGGTGCTGCAGGGAAAGTCACACAGATGAGACTGTGCCTGCCCTTCTGAACTGACTGATTTCCTGGAAGACTGCAGGCTGAGTCTAAAGCTGGGTACTGCCTTCTCATTGCTTCACTCCTGGAAAAGGGATGCAGGAACACTCTTGCAGTGATTTCCCAGTAAGGCAGACCAATCCCACTGGCAGAGTGCCACCAGCTGGGCAGTGTATGGAGGAGCCATCAACCTCCATCCCATACCCTGACAGCAGAGCTCCCAGACAGGCACTTGGTAGGGGATGGGGGGGGGGCCCAAATTCCTGTGGCAGGAAGAGTCTGTGACACGTGGAATTGGACAGAACTGGTAGCTAAGTGGATGGTGCTGCCCAGCAGGCTGGCACCCACTGGGAGGAAGGGGCGACACTCCCTGCAGGGCACCCCTTGGGCCAGGAGTCCTGGCACACGCCACCTCCATCACCATCACCCCTGTGCCCTGCCTTTGATTTGTCGATGGCCCCAGGCACCAGTTACATGACCTGGTTACCGTATGCCTGCTAGTGATGTTCACTGGCTTTTAATTTAATGATATTTACTCCCCAGGGACATTGCTGCATCAGTCCTTGTTTATAGTGTGTAAAGCACATGCCAGGGAACTAAGGAGCATTCCGGTGGAGGCTCCAATTCTGAAGAGTTCTGGGTTTTCAGTGATCCCAGGACTCAAAGAAGAAACACCAGCCGCAAAGAGCAGCATGACCGCATCTCGGTGCCTCAGAAGGACCCGGTGCGGAGAGTGACCCGGAGGTGGAGCAAAGCTGTGTCCTGGCTGATGTCTGTGTGATCATGGACGTAGCTGCTCAGAGACACCGGCATAGATCTTGATGAAACCTTGAAAACTGAATAAAAATTATGCTCAGCACACTCAGGGAAAGCAGCCCAGCTCTTCTCCATTGTCAACAGCTATTCCTACAGTGGCCCATAAGCGACCAGCTGGTGTGGGTCTAAGGTAGGCCTGGGAGGCCTCTTCTGACGTCCACTCCAGGGAGTACCGTGCAGCAGCCACCTAAGGCCCTGAGAATAAAGGGCTGGCCTGGATCCGCCAAGTCGCAATGCCCTGCGTTCTTGCATTTACCACAGCATGGGCATTGCAGGGAAACTGCTTCCTATTTCAAAGAAAGTGCAAGAGAGGCAAAAATGGAAAAAAATAGAAAGCAAATATTTACTTACATTAACCTCGTTCTAAGGCCCTGAGGGAAATATAAGCTAAAAAGAAGGCATAGAAATTTGATAGGATATGATATTCTAGAACCTTGTAGAAATATGTTATGGCTATAAATGGTGTCCACAGTGTATTGTTGATAATTTTTAAAAAATAGGCTAAATTAGCAAGTATAATGTAATCCTCTTATAAAATATATGTTCTATACATTTTAATTTTAAGAATTCAAGTAGAA